TACCCGCCGGGGCGCTTCTTCCCTTCCCACCCCCCGGCCGCAAAGCTGGGGGTGCCCACGGGGCAGCCCCCGGCCCCAGAGAGTCCCACGCGTGTCGGGGTGCGTCGGGGCAAGGCTCGAGGGGGAAGGTGGTGTTTCCTGGGACACCCTGGTCTGAATTTTCCCTTCTAGCTCCGCCAAGGAGTAAGGGTGACCGGCGCCTCAAAGGCTCGGGAAAGTGGGAATCGGGAATCGCGGCTTCTGCTGGCAACGGCCCAAGGCAGAGGAAGGTTTGGGAGATGCGCTGTGGAAAGAGGGAATCGTAGTGTACCAGTGGCTGTTTGCTTTCCGAGTTATTTTTGGAAATTGCTTCGCTGCGAGGGACTTTTTTTTTTTAACTGTCTGTGGGAAGGTGCACTTACATTGTGCTCCTCCAAGCGTTGATGCTTTCTATTGGCCGAGGAAGGCTGTAAAAGCAGCGTTTTGGCAAATGCTGATCCAACCGGTTAGTTGTTCTTCCCCTATTCCTAGTGGCAACAGCATAAAAACACGTAATCTGCATCTTTTTTTATCTTGCCCTGTGAGACTTGGCTGCTGGCTCGTTGGAGCCTTCCTTGGGAAGGGCTGACTCTCCCCGAGGACTGAGGGGTCTGGTGTGTCCATTAGGCACTTTGTGTAATGCAGGATGACAGCTGTGATGCAAGTGCACCAGAACTTTGGAACGTGGGCTCAGTCTTGGTTACGTTTGGGTGTTTTTCCCCCTTTCTAGGAAAACTGTGTTACATAGGCTGGAAGATAAACCTGGTGCCTTCCTGGCCTCTCCTGCAGCCGTGGGGCAGGATGGGGAAACAGAGGCAGAAGCAGGGTGGTGTTGCACACAGGTCTGTTAGCGGGACCGGGGAGCCTTGGCCTGGCACCCTGAGCTGCCTGGTGCTGTAGAAAATTGGGTGTCGATGGGTGTAGAGTGGCTGTGGCTCCTGCCCAGTGACTCAGAGGATTGCTCTTGTTTACAGCCATCGCTTTGCTTCTGCCAGCATTATAGTAGGCAGCTGCCTACTTCATCCATGTCCGACTCCGACCCAGGGCATGGAAATGGATTTCAGTAAGGTTGATGGTTTCCAAACTGCCCGGACTAAGGGGACACACACACACCCTGATTCAGCTGTTGAAACACAGTGATGGGCCACCGCTTACCCGTGGCTGAACTGGAAACCCTTCATTGTTCCCTCTGTCATTCGCGCGACGCTTGCGTGGCATCTTCCATGCGCAGTGATTTGTTGGCTGTGCCAGGGGAGCTGCTGAAATGCATACTGCTCTCGCTTCGCATTCTCGACACCTCGTAGCCTGGCTCAGCGTTGACTCTGTAGCAGGTCCCATCATGCTTGTGTGGCTCTTCAGAGTGTGGGGAGGGGAAAAAAAAAGTTAATGTTGAAGAAACTTGAAGACTCTTTAAGATTTTAAAATCTTTAAAAACATTAATTCTGAATCAAACATCTTACATTGCTAAATGTCGAAGAGAAACTAGTTAACATAAGGCAAAAACATACTATACCAAGTACAACTCAGAGCGATCCCATATAGGGTCAGTTGACTCTGTAGTGCTCTGCAGAGAGCTGAAGATGGGACTGAATAAATACCGGTTGTGGGACCTCCGTGTGCTCGTCCAATATGTTGCGGAGCAGTTTGCAAAGTTTCCAGTAAGTTTGCTTAATGTGGCCTTACTCAGTTGCAAGGCACTCCCATAATTATGGCTGCAATTAAAAGCAATAACATCCATTTACATAAGGTGCCAGTCCTTTTAAATCGGCGCATCATCTAATGAGAGCATTCGTGTA